CACCCATCAGATCCATATCTCTCCAATTTAGGGAGAAGGACATTCTGGAGGACCGTGTCAAAGGCCTTACACAAATCCAGATAGATGACATATTGGTAGCTCTTCCCTTGTCCACTGATGTGGTCACTCCAATCATAGATGGCCACTAGGCTGGTCAGGCAGGACTTGCCCTTGGTGAAGTTATGCTGCCTGTTTCAAATCACCTCCCTGTCCTCCACGTACCTTCAAGGTGAACGGGTAAGGCGAATCATGTAGCAAAGGAGAGTGTTCTTTAATATCCTTATTTATTTGTTGGAGGAGTTGGAAGGCTTACACTGCATGGCACAAGGGTTTGAAGAAAAAAGAAAGATTGTTTCTTAGTTTTGAACCCAATGTGCATTTGCAGGAGCTGAACTCTGCCCACGGCCCTGCTGCAGACACTCATCCTCTGTGACATTAAGTTCTTGCAGATGGTCAGTAAGACACAGGATTGTTCTCATATAAATATAGCAGTCTGAAGCCTAAAGTAATCATCAGTGAAGGACAGCAAATGTTCTTTTGAACATCTGAAATTCCTCCACTTTTTTTTACATATTCATTTTGGTATAGAATTAATTGCCTTTTGGAGATGTCTGGCCTTCTTTGTTGACTATTGAAAAAGCCTGAGAGAATAACATAAACTACATGTCTAAACCTTAGAATAGCGAAAGTTAGCTAAGATTAATCCCATTATAACTGTTTCCTTAAACTTGGTGTCAGTGTCTTAAAACCCAGGGTCTGAGTTGCAGAAATGTTGAGCAATGAGTGGAAAAGAACAGAAATTTTGCTCCAAACATAGAATTTATTTTAAAATGTTAAATACTCTGTAAAACCAAGTCCCAGGAGTCCCAAAATCAGTGGATACTTTTATCTCTGTATCTCCATTTCTAATATAGCACAGAAAGGATAATGACCCCACATCTCAAAGGGATGTTTGAAAAAATTTTAATTGTAATATTTATGAATCTGCAAATACAATAATGAGTCCCAGAGTATTGTCCTGGGGGAAATAAATAATTTCTTACTGAAAGGAGGGTTTTAACAGTGGGAACAGATAAATTATGAGGCTATAAAATAATAAAAAAAATTGATTAGCAATTAATTACACAAGGAATTAATGGTGCAGTGGTCTTACAGAAAAAATGTAAGAAAAAAGTGTTATTTTTCTTGAGATAAATTTTATTTAACTTGAGAGAGAAGCCATTTGCTGACTATTCACATCTCATGCTCCGAATCTAATGTCTAGTCCATCTAATAATACTCAGTAAAAAAAAAAAAATCAGATTTACAGAATATCTCTGAGATTAAAGGAACATAGAACTGTGTTTTATAACTTAGTAACTCTAACTGGTTAAGCACCTAAGATGAGTTGTGATAAATCAGTGCTCTAAACTTGTTTTCATGTCAAAATTGTCCATCCACTAATTTGGTGGCACTGGGGTACTAGCATGAAGTGGGAGAACTAAGATTTTATATTTAACATAATAAAGAGTTTCAATATGCAGAATATCACCTAAGGGCACTTGAGATATTAAAAAAAAGTCTTTTAAAAAAAGTTAATATTTTCCTATGTTTATTTTCTATGTAAACTAGGATGAATGTGCAAATTACATCCGTGTCCTTCACCGATACAACAGAACACATCTTCTAGCTTGTGGAACAGGAGCTTTTGATCCACTCTGTACTTTTATTAGAGCTGGACATCCATCAGAGGTAAGAAATTTGTTTTACAGTAGTGACTCTTCTGGTCTGGATTCCAGCAAAGCCTCTATGGTTAAAAATAAATATTTCAAATCAAGTTCTCGGCGTTCTCACACAAACTATACAAGAGATATTTCCGTTGATGAAATGTAATGCTGGTCTAAAATTCATGAAATGTAAAATGCTGGTCTAGTTCATGACTAGAGGAACTCACTAACTATTGAAACTACATTTTGGAGAATTATGCAAAGAACTCAAAGTCATTTTCATCTTAGATTTTTTTAACTAGATAAGCTGATACAGCAATTCTTACCAAATTTATTAAATATTTTGGGGTTTTTAGCTAAATCTGGGTTTTTTAATGAAATTATACACCATATAAAAGAACATATTACTTTGACGGGAGACAGAATACTGTAATAATTTTTTGTTAAATTCAGCTTCTTAGTGTTGATCATATCCAGCAAGTGTGTGTTAGCTCCTTAATTACACAACGTAGCTGAGTGAAACTACTTCAGAGACAGTCATTAAATGCAGTATATAATTGATTTTGTCAATGTATTTCTTATGCAAAAAGAGAAATTGCCTGGATTTTTCAGAAATTTGTATCCCTTCTGTCTCATTCATATTAGATCAGAGTTAAAGAATCAGCTAAGTTACCAAGCTCTCATTTTAAGTTCGTATTTAAGCCTCCTTAGGCATTCAATAAAATCCTGATTATATGCAACGTATGTGTTGCTACATGGAGAATGCAGACTGGTTGATCCTGCTTATATTCTGCTTCCTTGCATCTTTGTTTCATCACACTCCCATTGCCAGTCTAAAAAATATATGGAGTTTATTAATATATTTTGAAATTCTTGACATAAAAAAGCCTTCCAGAAGGGATGAATTTCTACAGCTGTTACCAGATTGAATCTGTGGACAAGTTATAATTTACATTACCAGGTTTGGACCTTGGAAGTCTAGACTTAGTAAAAATTTGACACTCAAAGTTATTCCTTATCATATACTTTGTAATGCTGAAGAAATAATTTATTCAATTATATGGTAAAAAAGCTGGTAAGGGACCCCACTGAGCTGCCGTGCAGCCAGAGGAGGATTTCACTAGGCAGCTAGAGGGGCACATATAATGACCACTTTAGGAATCTGACCAGGGATTCTTGATCATGCACTTTGTGAGGTGGGACTTAATAGATGGAGATCATGTGTAGCCCAAAGGTAAGATTGTTTTTTACTGGCAAATGTCAGGAAGAGACAATGATCTTGCTTAGTTGGTTCATGTTTAGTGATGTCTCCTGGTAAAGCTGAGCACTTGTTATGGAGCTGATGTTAAAGCACCATCCAAGAGACTTCTTGCTTCCACCTATGTCCAGGAGTGGGATTTTCAAGCTGATTGCAATTATATGATTCTGCATTGGAGGCAGGTTAAAATTTGTGGATATTATTTATAAAATAATACAGAATGAACCATAAAGACCAACCTTACTGATGACCATGAGGAAAAGTAAAACTTCAAAATAGATAAAGTGACATTTGCTTTCCTTTCCATTTCCAGATATTTCAGAACATTTGCCAAAAACTTTAAGCTTGTGTGTGTGTATATATATAGAAAAGAAAATATGAAAGAGTTGTGTTTCATGTTTTATGCAGCTGAACTTCGATAAATTAGAAAAATTCTCCTATATACTAGAAAACTAAAGCTAAATTTTGAATTATGTTTGATTTTTTTCTCAGTTATTCCACATGAGAATTATTCAGTTTATCAATTTATAAATAATATGTTTTCCCTAATTCTTTCTCTCACAAATTTCAGCTTAAGGTCTCCAAACCAATCTGGTTTTATTCTGTCTCTTAAGTCACTTTAATTGTTGTACTGCACATTTCACTGACAGTTACAATCCAGACTTGTCCCATACCTACAGTATTGTTTATTGGTCTATTGGTCAGAACAGCAGGAAAACAGAGGACAGCTTCTAGAGCTGATTTAAAATAAACACTTGACTTGAATAAATATTAGTTGCAGATATACAGTTTTTAAAGTGTACTTATATATAAATTATTTACATCAGTAAAAAAAATTCAAATAAGCTAATAAACTTTTCCGAGAAACAATCTCCAAGGATCCAATCCATGTTGTGCACCTCCAACTGCTGTTAAAATCAGAAGCATCTCAAAAGTTAAGACCCCCGCACAGCACTTACATCTGAAGTTATCTGAATTGCAGAAACACACTGCCTTCTAAAACTGAGGACGGAACTAAATAATAAACAATTTTAAAATAAGGCAACTTTGCATGTCCTCTTTGCTCCTCTCATGAACCTCCTGTCAGGCTTCCTAGTACAGTTTAAAGGAAGCAATCTCTGTATATTTAGGAACACTATTTAAGAAAGCATAAGCAACAGGCTAATAAAAATAGAAACCAAACAAACAAAAAATGAGAAACAAGACTCCTATATAAGAATGTGTGGCCCATGATGCTCCCCTTATGTATCACTGTCCTTCCTTCCCTTCCTTTTGTTTATTATCCTCCCTTGTTAAGCTGAGGTTATAAAATTTTACCCACACTGAAGTCATGGGAAAATTACCATTTTTCTGTTTGTGTAGCCCAACAGGAAATATATTTGCTACACTAATAAGTAGCTATATTAGTTTCTATTATCTGAAAACCTGACTCTCGGGATTAAAAAAGACAGGTGCTATGTGTGCGGTAGGTTAAAAATAACACATGGTATGTGATTGAGTGGGCAAATTGTAATCTCACTTTCTTTGACTGATAAGGACATCGTGTAACTGCGAGAAGTGAAGGGACAAGATCCTTCCTCTGAAAATTGCAGTTCAGTCTCTGCTGGTCTCTCTGTCTGGTCAGAGCATCCCAGTCCAATGACTTCCGATTGTCTCCCCATTTCTTCCACCTCAGCTCTCTTGCCTCTTTCTCACTGTCTGACTACGATGAAAAGGAGAGTAACAAATGAAGCAGTCTTAAAACTATAATGATACTATTTCGTTCTGAAACAGGAACCAACGCATCTTTCTTCAAAAACTAGTAAAATTCAGACTTTTTATTTGAAGGATAAACGCTGGTTTAAATATGCAGTGATATGATGTTAAATGCAGTTCATAACATGCAGCTAGCTGAAAGGAACATTTTTTAGATATTGTTGGCATTTTTTATTAAATATATTGAACTTCAATATAAGTAAAATCTAAGTAAGTAACACAAGCTGTATATTGGGCTTTTTATACATTTGAACAATGACGCTTTGGCAGGCATGTTGAGATCTAAAGGGCGGCAGGTAAAAAGGGAGCCCTTATAGAAGATTCTATGTATCTAGATACCTAGCTAAACACAGCATATGAAGTTAGATTCACTCTTCCATACAGAACTATGAATCAGCAGTATCAACATAGAGGAAATATTTGCTCTGGGGTCAGGGACTTTAGCCATAATTTTCAGTAGTGCTTCCTGAGTTGATAGCAAAAGGAAGATGTGACCCTCAGTAAAAAACGCAGGGTTCTTAAATGACAAACTGTATATAAATACAAATTAGAGATGAAGGCAATTAAGAACATGATAGAATAGCAGGACTATATTTTCTATAACTTTTCCTCTTGCAATTTACTGAGCAGGCAAAAGAGGAACAGTCTGGTGGAACAAAATATCCATCTGAGGCTCTTGTTCTTGCTGTACACTAGTCCCATGTTGCAGGAAAATGTATTTCGTTGTTGGCTTGCAATGGATGTTTACATAAAGTAATCCATTTCTGAATACCCATTTGGTAAGAAAACTAAGCATTGCAGTTCTTCCTTTGAACAGTGAGAATATCTGAAAGCCATGATCATGATCATAATCATACCGTATGGCACCCCCATCTAGCATTCTGCCTTCTGCATAAAGTCTTACATTCTTATGCAACTACAAACTCATATTCTTGTTTTTGAGAAAACTCATATTTTCTTATTAAAAACAGATTTGAGCTGTGTCTTGCAGAACACTGAGTTCTTGTCAACAAATAGTGAACCCAAAAGGAGATTTTTGTCTCAAAATTTAGGCAGAATGTATTGCCTCACTGGCAGACCATTACTCATTGGAATTTATGGAAAATCAGAACCACTAAGTTTCTCAAAAAAAACCAATAAAAATGTCCATTCTCCTAATCAGTCTCTCTAGAAAATATTAATCTAACTTACTATGTAGTAGCTGAAATGTGCTCTAAAATACTTCACAATCAAATTGTATTATGATACATTAGCATTATAGAAATGCTTATTTCATGCTTTTCACAGTTTATAGAAATTTCATGATACTATTTATTTTGTTTTAATAAAAATAATTATATTTTAATATGTTGATAATATAAAACAACAAGCAATAAACATTGGATTTATTGAGTTCTACCTCAAATTTGTGTTGTACCATGAAAGTCTAACCACATATATTTTTCTAAATCAACTTAATTATCTATTCTATCACACACTTTATATGCATTTAAAAAATTGAATATGTAATGGTTTAACGCAGTCATTCTATTGTAATATTGGTTTAATTAATATTGCTTTGGAATTCCAGGCTTTTCACTTTAGTAAAGCTGTTGCCAGATATTACCTTTCTAAAAATACAGAGTTATAGTCACGGACAGCAACATGTAGCTTTTTATCTTTTTCTGTCTTTCTAATTACTTTGATTATGATTAATGTAGCTTTCACAAATTTAAACATTTCAGCAAATTACCCAATGTTTTGCTGCCATTTAGAAATAAATTACAAATTTGGAAAAATAGGAATGCTGACTTTGCAGACAGAACAACTATTGCTGTTTTCAACAGAGCAAAGAGGAGGGCAGAAAAACCTCAGTGAGATGGAACAGCTCTCCTATGGGGACAGGCTGAGAGAGTTGGGGTTGTTCAGCCTGGAGAGGAGAAGGGGAGACCTTATTGCAGCCTGCCAGGGCTTAAAGGGGCTTATGAGAAAGATGGGGACAGACTTTTTAGCAGGGCCTGTTGCAGCGGACA